GAAAACTTCAATTAGAATCATGCATGATCCTAACTAATACAAAAATGCCTAATCGCAACCCATGCCAAAAAAATGCAATCTAATAGTAAGGCCCGGCTATTCTAAACTATGGCATATGGAATCGCTACAACCTAACATGTATTCAACTTGGAATTGAAATACACATGCAGTTTCGTATGATGCGCCGAGCCGGTGCATGCACTGCAGATGAATCGCAATGCAAACATGCTCATCAATATTGCTATGCTTAAATTGAAATTATGCCCTAATCTAACCATCCATAGCAGGTAAATAAAAGGGAGAAAGATGTGGGGTTGGAAGACATACAACACCACACACGCACACTTTATTACAGTTGTGCCCTCGCGTAGAAGGGTCCGAATAAAATATACAGTCCCGAATAAAAGAATATTACAGTCCAAAATATTACAGTCGCGAAAATTACAAATTTCTACTTTAATTTAATAAATTAACTAAAGAAAGTAAATAAAACTGGCATGCGAGTCAGGGACTTGCCTTGCTTCTGATGGATAGATGTATGTCTGGCGCTGCTTGCGCAGAAAATCCACTGGGATGCCCCGATTAGCCCTCCTGTTGCCACCTACTTCATTGAAAATGCGCGCCAAGCTTGGAAGCACGCTGATTCTTGATTTTGCTTGCAACAGAGAGCAGGAAAGGGGCATAGCAATGTATTTCAAAATTATGCATGCCTCGATCCTCGTGCCCACAATCACGCATACGAGGCATGATGGCCCGAGGAGTCCCGAATTGCACAACTCAATATCGAATGAATTGCACGTATCAACACACAAGAACCTAACTCCTCATGGATGATTTGGGAGTGTCGGTGACTAGGGAATCTGAGACATGTTCCGTCACTCGGAGTACAAACGCACCTGTTTCCCGTGCCGGGCTTACTCCTATCCGAACACGAATCGCAATATGCATGAATATGCTCTTTTTGCATGAATGCAACTAAGATACAGCCTAGCATGCACAATGCTATGAAAATAAGATGCCTTGAAATGCGTGCACACGGACACGCAAATCGAGAAAATGACATACGCAATGCAAATGACATGAAAATAAGATATGGGCTTACACTAACATGAGAGAGACTCAGCCACACTCACATAAGAGGCCGATGAATGAAAATGAAGTGCCTCGAAATGCGTGCACACGGGCACGCAAACCGAGGCGATGGCATACGCAATGCAATAACATGAAAACATGATATGGGCTTATACCAACATGAGAGAGCCTCAGCCATACTCACATAGAATGCCGATAGATGAAAATGAAGTGCCTCGAAATGCGTGCACACGGACACGCAAACCGAGGCGATGCAAAAATGCGAACTATGGCATGGGAAATGATATGCAAACATGCTAATGGGATTTCATCACTGAAAAGTGGGGGAAAACAGCCCCGAAATGAGGCGAAAACACACCCGATGTATGGAATAGTCCCAAAATATGAATTTTGGCACCCGAAATGGCCTATAGCTATGCAATGCATGCACAATATGGACATGAAGTGTAAAGACAGAAGCTAGGCAGTCCCAAAATTAGCATTTTACCAGTACAAATCATGGCCAAACACCAAACCAAGATAGGGCAAAAATAGCATGCAAGAAATGGCCCTAAACATGAGATTAAGAAGAAGCTCATAGCTGCTGGCCCCAAACAGGTTAGGGTCCTTCAACAATGTTGAAGAGGGACCCAAAATAAGCACTTTAAAAGAGCTGTAAAAACCTCAAAAACAAACATAGATAAGGCTAAGCTTTTATGCAAGAAAACGGACCAAAAGGTGGCCAAAGAGGCAAGTGGTATATACACAGCCCAAATTGAAAAATTCCCTTCTACAACATTGAAGAGGGACCAAAAATAAGCATGTTTACAGAACTGTAAAAACCCAAAAACAGTATACAAACATGCTAGAAATGCAATGCAAAGTAAGGCTCAAAAGAGGCTATAACATGAAGTATGAAAAATATTCACCAAACAGCCAAAGACCCTTAATAAAACATGTTAATAAGGTCAAAATAAGGCCATCTCTAGGCCTGTAAATCGTCCAAAAATGGAATCATGATAGGCTGCCAAAGCATTCAAGAAAACGGTATTTAAGGAGGATATTGAAGCAAGTGCAATATGGAGGGCTCAAACAGGGTTGAGACCTTAATGAAACAAGAAAATGAGCTCAAAATAAGGCCACTTTCAGTTATGGCCGGAGCTCAAAGCAAAAAGCATAGATGGCTTACAAAAGATACAAGAAATGGGCCAAAAAGGGAAAGATGCAACTCACCCTTGAAGATCAATACTTTTGTTACTTCTTGGACCAAATTTGTTGCCTCTTAGCTGCTGGAATTCCTCTCCTTGCTGCTGGAATGGATTGGTGGTGGTAGAGCTTGGTGGTGATGAAGAAAATGAGGTGTAGAGCTTGAAGGTTTTCAAGGAAATGAGGGAGATGGAGAGGGATTTTTGTATGCAAGTTTGAAGATGAAATTTTCCAACCCCCAAAATAAACAATGGCAGCTGGTTATAAGGACCAAAAGGAGGGTGTAAAGGTGGGGCAAAAAGGAGGTAAGCTTTCCCCCACAAAATATCCCCCGGATTGGGATATTTTATGGGGGAAACAGCTGCACAGCTGTAAAGTACCAAGCATGAGGAACATGGCCAGCCCCTTACTTTTGCTGCAGGTGGCCGGCCGACCACCCCCCCTAGCCGGCCAGCTAGGGGTCAAAAAGGTCAACTTGAAATAGTGGCCGGCCACCACATATTGGTGGCCTCCCAGGTCTCCTCTTCACAACCCTGTGGTTCGAATTTGGAAACTCTAAAACAGGAGAGAGAACAAGCCAATTTTAGAAGGGGTTCAAAAGGGTCAAAAGGAAATAGTGGCCGTCCATATGATATTAGGATCCACCCATGTGTGTACAACACAAATATGTGGTTGAAAGTTCAAGAAAGTAATTTTATGGGGAGATCCTCCTCTTGTTTCATGCATGTCTTGCATATAGTATGGCATGTAGAAGGAATTACTAAGTATTCTAGACAGCATCGAACTACCTTTCCATAATTTGTTAAAATTAGAACAAGAATTAAATCATTGGGTAACATGCTTTGTGAACCATAGACCTATGATCCTTCTGTAGTCACTCTAGATACGAGCATCAAAAGAGGTCCTGTTTAGTAATATACAAGTGCCAGTGCATTCAGACAGTCTACCAGCCAACTGCCAAGGCACTAGCCTATGTTGAAACTAGAAAAACATGGTCTATATGTGTCAATCTACTAAAAAATACCGAAACTTCTAAGAATATGGTGTGATCGCTTCCCAACATGTGTTAAACACCTAAACATGCCTAGGACAGTTGGAAGACACATGTGTCCATCAACTTCAGGAAACATGAAACAAATTACAAGTTTGCACAAAATAACCTAGGATCCAATGATAAAAAGTAAAATAATGTAGATTTATACTTATTAGCTTTAAACATTAAAAATGAGTGTTATAGTGTAAATTTTTTTTTATTATTGATATATATATATATATATATATAATATGACATAATAAATACATAAATTTAAAAATTGTGTGTGCTCCCATGTGTGTTGTCTTGTATTTTTTGAAAATTGTTGTGTTAGTGTGTCTCTGTCACGTCTTGTGTCCGTCTTCGTGCTTCTCATGGTGTATAAATGGTGCTTCAAGCCTCCAGTTGGGTTGATAAGATTTAGTTTAAAATTACCAAAATCAGTATTACTAAACTACCATAACTTGAGCATGTCAAATTAAGCATACTCTTTGTTATTTTGGTGCCACGTTTCCATTCAAGGATTCTTCTCGAATTGCTAAAATAAAACATGACTTCTTAAAATCTATTGCTAATGCCATGCCATGCACAGCATGTGGAGTCAACAAAAGTTTCTACTATTCCACCATTTTAGTAGTTTATTCAGTTAAATAATATAATAGCAAACCGCATCTCACTAATCTAACTGATGTCATTCTGGACTTCTTGCCAGGTCATTTAGCTCCATGAGATTCCACTGACCAAATGTCTCTCTATATATGGGTGCTTGAATGAAGAAATTGGATGTTTGTAACATAAATGCCTGTCTCATGTGATTGCTGATCTCAATGTCAATTTCAGGAAAAGTATCATCCAAATCAAGAAACATAGCATACAAACCAAGAATGTGTAGATAAATGCATGAATTCAAATGCGTGAGAGGTTACATAATTCTTCAAGAATCATGGCAATATAAGACATAATGCCACACAAGAATAGGGACACAGAAGAATCATGTAGATAAATGCATGAATGAAGCCTACAAACAGTGATTATTATGTCCAATATGGCTAAAAAACCTATCAATGCTATAAAAATAATAATAATAATAATTAATAATACACACTCGTTTAAACAGTCTTAACAATTGAGCATTAGTTATGAGTAACGAGGGCCAAACACAGCACAAATCTGCCAAAGGCAGAGCGGAAAAATATGCATAAAGTACCTACCAAGTATAAATTATAGTTGCATATATTTTTTAATTAGTTTCGAATAAAAAGTGCCGTCCTGCTCATGAGATGCAATTACTGCAGGGATGGAGACAAAACAAATTACTGCTTTTATGAAGTAGGAATCATTTCAAACGAACAACCCTTTGGCATTTGTTGAAATGTGTGAAAATTTAGATTGCTTGAGTCTCAGTTCACAAAATTGGGTCAGAGAACTAATAGATTACGGATTCAACATCATAAAGAGGAATAACTAGTGGCCCTGTGTGATAATTCTATAAATAGAAATCACTTAAAATTTGACTAGAAGTAAACTTAACAGAAAAATCCAAGCAAAGTATATACATCTTGTCATTAAACAACAAAATGATAATAAATGCCATTTGAATCCTAAAAACAATTAGAACTCATCACAGCCCACACAGGGTCAGCAATTTAGGAAAGCAATAAAGCAAGTGAAAAAATTATTCATCAAACTCCGCAAGCCATTGTGCATATACCTATGTTATATGGACTCAAGTAGGAGTATTGGGTGTGTGTATCCAATTGTCAGACTTTCATAAATTTAAATTTTAGGAACTTGAAATACAAATCCGAAATTGAATATGGGTAAAGGGACGAGTCATATACACATATATATTACATATTACATAATATTCTCGGATGAGATGTTGCAAATTATGTAAAAATATCTAGAAATTAAATAGGTTTAAAAAAAGAATATGAAATTTCGATATCCAATTCATGTGAGAGACTAAAAATATTACTTTAATAGCAAATTTGATGTCGTATCCGGTGAACACGGGTAATCAGGAGCAAATAGAAGAGTCCATGTAACACAGGCCCACACTAAACCCTAAATAAATCCAATTAACACAACTGATTTAAGGGTTGCAATTTACTTGTAATTCCAAACATAAGCAAGCGCGCGCACACACACACACACATATATATATATATATATATGTTAATCAGCAAGCAAGAAGAAAAAATAAACCAAAATTTGATATACCCTTTCAACGATGATCCTATCACCAACACGAAGAGTTGGGTACATGGACGAAGATGTAATGTATCGAATTTCAGAAAACATAGACCATAAAAGCACAATGATGAGAAGGCGAATAAAACTGTCAAGACTAGGACAGCGAAGAAACACCCAGCTCTGACAAGGCATCCATCGGAGTGAATGGTAAGTCACCAACAAAAACCGGTACAACACAGAGGGCCTCAAGAAGCTCATTGCAGAAACTAGGGTTTGAATCGAGGTGAAGTGGAGGTGGTAGTGGTGTAGTGGGTTAGGTTTAGTGGAGTAGGTTTAACAAAGCCAGTGGGCGAAGAAGAGGTTGATCTTGTGGAAAGAGTAAGAGTGTGAGAGGTTGTGATTGGTGATTAGCGTTGGGAGTTTGAGTTCAGAAATTAGGAAATTGAAGCTCCGATTCTTGAAGATCGGAGGTGAAGATTTGGAAGTTTGATGATAATTATGATGTTGATTTTCTGTGAAATCGTAAGGGTTACCGTTATACCACAAGATTGGCGCGTAATCGGAGCAATTCAATCATTATTGTAAACCACTATCCTTGGGTGCGGTCTTTTTGGAAGGATCTGGATCCTACTGGATTGATCTTCTCTCCAGCCATTTTATATCCCTAGTGATTCAGTATATAGTAAATTTTATAAAAAAATTACGTTGACAACTTACCATTAATATTAATAATTGATTTTGATCTTATAACAGATCTTGAATATAAAAATACTAATAGATAGTTATATAATTCTACAAAATAACTTTAACTGCTTTATTCATATAATTCTACAAAATAATTTCAACCCTTTATCTTGTCTATCTGTCATTCTCTTTTTTCCCTTGGGATTTCGGGCAATTAGAGGTTTTTGCTACATGTGCATAGCACATGTAACTTTTGTTTTTAAAAATAATTTTTTTAAGGGCATTAACCAATTAATTCTATTAATTATACTTATTTACTCACAGGTTTCAACTGATAAATTTGTCACTGTAAATTTATTCATAAAAATAAGAGACACTGATAAATTTATCAGTTAGACTTAATAGGTAATAGGTCCCAAATGTAGGACCTATTGGTAATTTATCATTTTTCGAACCTAATTTTACAAGTAAGAGCATCTTTAATAGTAAATGCTATTATAGCATTGTCAAAGTTATAATTTGGCATGCTATAATATTAAATTGTCAAATTATAGCAATAGTACTCCTATAGTGCAAAGCTATTTTGGCACAATTCCAACCAACTTTCCTTCATTTTTTTAAGTGGTGTTTGGATATAGTTTTTTGAGAGTTTATTATTATTATTATTATTATTATTATTTTTACATGTTTAAAACATTTTCTAAAAAAAATTAACCAATACATTTTTATTTTTATTTTTTAATTTTGGGATCAAAACCATTTCTTCTCTCTTCATCTTTTTTATTCTCACCAATTTCTTCTCTCACTCTCATTTCTATTCTTTCTCAATCGAGAGGACTCATTTGTTTTCAAAAGTATAATGGAAAGAATTAATAATGAGGACATTGTTAGTAAGGGGATTAAGTAAAATTATGTTTATTTTGATGATAGTTGTTAGTGTGAGGATTGTTAAATTATTACCCTATAAAAGAAATATAAAATATTAAAACAAATAAAACTATAATTTTTTCTTAACAAAAAATATAAAAAGATTAAACATTAATGTTAAAAAAAAATACCTAATATATAAAAATAAAAAAATAAAAATAAAAATAAAAAACGCTAATTCAAAAGACTAACACTATGTTTGGAAACTTAGGACAGAAAAGAAAAGAAATGATTAGTTAAGTCATAAGAGAAAAGAAAAGAAAAGAAATGATTATGATTTCTCTCCTTTTTGTTTGGATAAGGAAAAAATAAAAGAAAAGAAATGATTATGATTTCTCTCATTTCTGTTTGGTTAGATTTCATTAAGAGAAAAGAAAAAAAATTATTTTATGTTATATTACTAAAATAACCTTTTATATTTTCAATCATTTTATTTCTTTTATTTCTATAGGGACAAAATTGGTATTGTAAAACAGTGGTTTCTTTTCTCTCTCAATCTCTCCACTTTTGGGAAGATTGAAAATGAGGCTTATAAGAGAAATGAGTTTCTCTCCATTTCTCTCAATTTCTTCCTATTTCTCTCCACTTAAGTTATCTAAACAAGTAAGAGAAATACATATCTCTTCATTTCTTTTCTTTTCTCTCCAAATCACTCAATCCAAATATAGCGTAACTTCTAACACCAATTCTATCACCTCTATATCTCAATCCTCTCTCCATATCCCATCCTAATCCAAAGCCTATCTCAATTCCATCTTCAACTCCCAAAACAAACACAATGTAAGTGTTCCCACCTTCGTCTCAGTCCCAATCCCTTCTCCATTTCCAAAAACAAACGGGGCTAGAAGTTTTTCTCACTCTCACACACTCCTCATTCTCTCTTTTCTCTTCAAAGCGACGCCTCTCTCTCTCTCTCTCTCTCTCTCTCTCATCTCTCTCTTTCATTCTCCTTGTTCGTTTCTTCCTTCCACTGTAGAATTTTCATCACAGAACACGCCCTTACTTCTTCTCTTGTCTCTCATCTCGGTGAGTCATTGCAATGAGGATTCGCAGATCGCAAAGACTTATTCGATGAGCATCTCCAAATGGTATCTTCTCCTTTGAAGAAAAAGATGAAAACCTAACCTTGATGAGTATCACAAACCTCTTTAATGAATAGAAGGTCGTTTCATCTTTTCCAAATCTTTGTTGTAAATCCCTCTAACCCTAACTTTGAAATCGAAACCC